AATTTTTAAAATAACATACATTTAAAAACAATACATATTTCCCATTATTTTGCCATGAATTGAAATCTTTTTTTTTCTTTTATCCAACCTCAAACATTTCTTATACCTGCCTTTTTATTTTCATCATTAACTGAATGAAGTTCAAATGATGAATAGTAGGAATGCAGGTTCAGTTGAATGACCGACCCATCCTCATGCATTTCTGTGTCACTCTCTCATTGTCTTCTTTAGTTTCAAGACTGCGGATTCAGGTTTTGGCAGGTTTGTTGGGTCATGTGGGGGCTTTTTGCAAAGATTTAGAGTCTTTTTGTTGAAAATGTGCATGTCTGATGAAAGTATGTCATTAAGCTAGAGCCTCTTATTAACATCCATTATATAGTTTCTAAATTGCTTCAGTGTCGTAGAAATCCAGTAAAGAGAACTGAATCCACTTTGGATCCATTATATCAGACATACATATTGGAGTCTTGTGTTTATCTTAATACTAACATACTTGCAGCAGAGAATAGCTTTAAAGGTTGTGTGGCAAGAAGATATGCTGTTAGTGAAGCTGTAAATACTGGAACGTTATCTTATATTCTTTGGTGATTTCTGTTGGTGCCTTTTCCGCATGTTCAGTTTTCCATTCAGGTTTTCTCTTTTCTTGAGCCCAAAACAGACTGGCACTTTCTGATGCATGCCAAGATAGCCATGTGTACTATTTTATGTGCTTCATACAAGTTACTTTAATTTTAAGGTGATGAAGCATGGAAACAACCAGGCTACCTCTTGTCATTTAGCACTTCTTCTGTGGTGTTTTAAGTGTTTTAACAAAAGAACTGAAATCAGCTCTTTGGTGAAGAATTGTGTGAAAGGAAGAAAAATGTATACTTCACATTTTACTTTATCTGCTTAACTTTTTTGATGGTTAACATGGCATGTGAATTGGTTGATTTGCTTCTGAGTACAGCAAATGTAGCAGTGTGTTTTGGACTTAATAGCCGTGAGCTGTGGCTACCTGGTGACCATTATGTCCTTCTGTTGCATGTCCCTCCTCCCATCCTTCTCTACAAGCCTTTATCAATACAAAACACCCCCCACCACTTGATGTAAGAAGACTAAGCTCTCCCTGGATCTTTAAAGAAATCCGAAAAGCCTACTCCCATCAGTGTATTGTGCTTCTGTCTTTGTGAGGACGTGTAAGTTTTAGACATTTTTGGAAGATGTGTACATTTTGTATGAACATGAATTCAAAGAGCAGTTAGAGCAAAATATGTAAGTGTAAATGCTGGCATTTGATTTTACCTACAAAAAGGTTGGGAGTTAAATGTTCAGTTTTTTTATGATCAAAGGATAAGTAAGGATGGTGACAATGCATCATGTAGCATGTTTAATGGTAAGTTTGGTAAACTCTGGAAAATTTGCTTGTGTAAAGCTCGTGTAAAAGTGTAAATTAGTTGAAAAAAAAGGAGTAGGTATTTTACACTCTACCGTTACATAAGTACATAAAAACAATACAACCCTTGTCTACTGAGAATCATTACAGTGAAGTAGAAGCCTACAGAACTCAAAACAAAAACTGCTGTTAAGAGCCATGCACACTACAGCAAGAGCATTTATTAAAATGCATTTTTGTTATTTTATTATGTTATTTCATTTCCATTAATTACTTCAGCTGGCCTCCTCCTACCTTCTGGCCCTTGATCCCCTACACTGGCTGCACTGTCCGAAGTTATGCCTTGGCTATGGCTGACAGGGTAAAACTAGCCAAATAAATTCCAATCTAGCCTACAGAAGGTTGCTTCTGCACATGTGTAAAAGAGTTGGATTGCCAATGAATGCATTCCTGTTTTAATTGAAAATGATAGCTGACTGGAATGATAGCTGAAAATTACTGGAAATGAAGCTCTGTGACCTTGAACATGCCACTTTTTCTCTGCTGAAGCTGTTCATTTTCAATTTACTTTAACAGATGTCACCAGAATCACTCAGCATGATTGTAATGTATTACTTTGAGCCCAGCTGTCAGTATTACTTGCTATTTAAATGTATTAATTTATAAAAATGTAATTGTGATCGTCACCTTTCTAGCAAAAGTCAGAGAATATTTACACAAGATAAAAAAAATAAAAAATAAAAAGCCACAAATATATAAAT